GGTGGCAATTGCCACCGCCAGGGCCGAAAGGGTTAATGAGCTTAGTACAATCCCCGTCCCCTACTTTTAGACTTGCAACAACGAGCGGTCAACCATGAGGGTGAGCCTGGTTTTCGTAGATTGGAGCAGCGCGTTTCCAGTGGAGCGGCGAGCGGTCCTTGCACATATAGGGAAGGGAACAAAAAATTGAGGATTTGGACAGCCTGGTCTGAGTGTCACGAATTTTGACGATCCCAGATTCGCAGCGTTTACTTTTGACACATAGCTTGAGTCGCTGGGTTATTATTCGACGTGCAGCAAACAACTCGCACAAATTTGCGAAGAAAAAAATCAAAGCGCGAACGAGATGGCCGAAAATCAGTGGAAGAAAATGGAAACTGAACCATGTGAGCCATAGTGATCATACCCACTATTTCGGAAAACGAGAAGGGCGTCAAGTGCAGACCACACACCACAATTGACAACTTTGCAACGCTAAAGGAATTCTTCTCAATCTTGAAGTCATTTATTCAAATATAAAGTTACTGTGTTGCGAAACCAGGTCACCACACAAAATCGTTTTCGAGATAAAAAGGAGATAAAAAGAAAAATATTTATTCAGTCGTTGAAAGCAGTTTTTTGATGAGTGCTGCTCATAACACAACTTGTAGTGTCTAAGGCGAATAACACTGTTTTGTGTTGCCAAGGAATTCGATACTTCATTGAAAAACCTCAGGTGCTCACCCATATCACATTTCAGAACACGATAAACATGCTTTCACAACCTAATTCTTCAGAATACCTGAGAAAGTTAAATGTCTTGTGCTGTCAATAGCACTTAGGTCTTCTACATGCTTTCTACTCAGCGTTTCTGTTGCAAATGTTGAGTCAAATATTATATTTTCTTGCGGAAATTCTAATTAAGGAACGGCGAAAGCAGCCCAAAAAGCCTGAGAAGAATGAAGAACATTTTGAGAAAGTAGATGCGAAAACCGCAGTGACGACGATGAAGATTATAAGTTGAAGCTGCGGAATAGGCATTTCAAAAACTACATGACTGTAATAAAGCAATTACATGGAACAAATAAAACCACGTAGATCAACATTCTGGAAGTCCTTTGAGCGTGGAGTCCTGAGTTTCGCCGATTTTCTACCAGCTTGTTGTGACTGGTGGACTTCCCCAGGCAACATTCATAGGGATTAGTGGTCCTAGTTTTGTAATATCGCTTGGTACGAGAGCGCTTCTGTAGGGAGAAATAGCGTCTGGACGGGTATTTTCTCATTTGTATGTGGTTTTTCTAGGTTTTTAAGGAGACAACAACGCCTAAACATCAGGGACGGTAGAAAGCTAGCCAAACTTGCACGTTAACGGTCAGTTTCAACGAGCACGTCACAGGAGGCGCAAGTTTTCCCGATGACGGTATAGATCGCCCATGGCATCTAGGAGACCTACTTAAAAAACTCTGAAAGCCTCCCACTTGAGCTGCAGCTCCCTGGCAGAGTGGTTCCTTGTTACGCGCAACCATAAAACGCGGCGGAAGGGCTCACTGACAGAAAACGGAACGAGGAGGGACGGAATACGATGTGTTTGGAGAGACGCAGTGACGCCCGTCACGCGCAGCAAAAAGTCCTTCGGAGGACTTTTGAAGTTGGCCAACTTCAAACTGCCAGGTGCGTGGGTCAAAGCACGGTGTTGGAAAGGGAAAGGAAGGCACCTTGCATTGATTCGTCAGTGGTGTAGCGCCTGCGGTCTACGTTGGTGTTGGATCAGTCGCGGGATCAATACTAGGAGTCTAAAGGTTTGCAACCTTTGTAGGCTATTCCCTTTTCTCTACAACCCTTTCACCGCGATAAGAAGGGCTCCTTAGTGCAGTGGTAACGATGCCGCTCATGGGACGGTGCACCGAAAGTTCGAACCCGTGTGTGACGCAAGGTTTGCAGGCAACGTGGGGCTCACCACTTCCACTATGGCAAATTACCAATGGCTCAATAGGAACGTTCCACGCTGCCGCTGGCAAGGTTGCTGGATCTACACCGCTTGGAGTCTAAGATTTGCAAACAACATCCTTTACCTGTTGTCAAGACCTCTTCCGATGCTGTGATCGAGTGATCCCTGGTGCACTGGCAAAAACCCGGCTTTGAGTCCTGTCATCCAGGGTTCAAGTCCGAGAGTGGCGCAAGTTTTGCAGATAGTGTGGCGGTTTCAAAAGGGTCAAGTCCATGTTTCCACGTTCCTTGTTCCTCGTCAATGGGTGAAAATCACCACATTTCATTGTCAGTCTAGAGCACTTTACTACCGTCTCAGACAAATGAATCTTAGTTAAGTCGTAAGCTCGGTCGCAAACTGTGCTGATGCAAAATCTTTTGGAATCTATAGTGAAAGGAAAATAGGACATCCATTAAGAGTCGACGATCTCGTTAGGTTTGAGCTGTGTGAATAATCACTACTGAACACTAAAAAAAGAGGACCCTTTTGGACCAGTGGCATTTTGAAAACAAAGCGAAGCGATTTTTCTTCTACCATCTAACACTGTTCAGGAACAACTTTTATGAATGCATTGTTAAGGTTATGGCAATTTGGTACCAACTACGACATCTGGAAGAGTAGCATGTATAATCTTCGCACTATTTGGAATTCCTTTATTACTGGTAACAATCGCGGATATCGGAAAGTTTTTGTCAGAATTTCTCAGCTTTCTTTACAAGTCATACCGAGCATTCAAACGAAAAGTGAGTTTTCGATCGACTATAGCCTAAATGGTGTCCCTCTATAATTCCTATGCTCTAACGTCTATAAATTGCTTACGGTGAAATGTAACGTCATTCTAGCTCTTCTGTTTTGTGTGTCGTGGACAATTGAAGCCCCTTTGTTCTACGTAATAAATTCCGATTGTGTGCCAGAGCTCTAAAAAACCTTAAAAGTTTCAGTTGATCGCACGACGGAGGACAAGTATTGCGGCTGCGGTAAGGAGTGACAGATCTAACTGTGCCGCCTTTGATTTCTAACCTTATCCTTGTATTTGTTCATTGTTTTTAAGTTCATGTTTGTAAGAAGTAACTATCAATATCCACTTGTCTTTTGTTCGAGTTATTTGTCGATTGTTCTCACCCCTCCTTCTTAAAGGTAATGCTCATGATGAAAATCAATTCAAGAAAGCCGAAAATATGAATGAAATGAAATGTTTACAGTTCTACGAATTCGCCCGCTCATTCCAGCGTTGGAAAGCTGTTCAACCAGCTCCTGCCCTGGTCGCTGGGAACTGGGTCGATATTTTTTATTATTCCTGAAAGCTTTCAGCCTTGCGGCTTAATGTCGACATCGGCCAAATATCATCACATTATACGTGTGAGTGCCGATAGGCTACGGGGTTAAAGGTACGGTCCAGCATCACGTGCGCTTACCTGTTCCATCGTCGGGGCAGCAGACGGACAAGCGTTGATGTCGCGCCCCTTTTGCCGGCTTGAAAGTGCGCGACAAAGGCGCAAGGAGCTCGTCCGACCCGCAACTCACACCCGTCCGCAACCCCGGTTGCCACGTGGCGCTGCTTGAAAAGCGCGGGCGCATTTGAGGCAGCGGTCCCATTGCGACCCAATGTTATTGGCACTGGAGCAACTAGAGTTAGGTTCGTGAAACTCGTCCAATTCGCCCCTTCTCTATCCCAAGGTGGAATGTGGCTGAAATAGGGGAGGTCTCTGTAGGGGCGTAATCGGTGGTTTCGTTTGCTTTTTTCTCTTCTTTTTTACAGACCACTCCCACCTCTAGATTCATGACTGAATGCTTTTCCACACCCTTTTTATCCAGAAGTTTGCCTTTAATCCACTAGAAGCGGAGTCATGGCGAGACAGTTCCCCTGTCGTAGTGCACTTGCCCGGTATGCGAAAAGTGAGGGTACAAGTCCCACCTGGGGCAAAGTTTCTCTTCATCTTAGCTTTCTTGTTATGTCTTCATCCACTCTTTTTTTGTGGTAGCCGAACTTACTCAGGAGACGCTGTATCGAAAGTCACGTGTTCCCATACATTAGGTAGGCTAAGAAGGCGTTCGACTTCGACTCTGGATATAGTTCAAGAACACGATCCACACTAATTTTTGCCAACCGTAGTGAATGTGTTAACCAATAACGGTAAGCAACGACTGAATCAACTAGCTGGATGCTACGATCTCCGTGTAGCTCAAACATGGCTCAAGTCTCATCTGCATCCTCTATCATATCATTAAGAATTTCTCAATATCTCATTTCACATCCAGCAACTTCTAAGGGCTCTGCCTATAGGTGGTACGGAATCGATACAACAAAACGTTCACATTCAGCAAAAAGAGTAGGACTCAGAGTCATTTTCATAACATAGAGCGCAGAGTCTGGTAGGACACTTTCCCGGAACCGGAAAATGATCATAGGCTCGACGGCGCAACTGGAGCCTGTGCTTGCCTAGCAGATTTGCTACTACAACATAATCAGACCATACCTTATGCCAATTCAGCATTCATAGGCATCCACGCGTGATTCCGTAAGCCGAGTGTTCAATATCAGAAGTGAAGCATAAATCTGAAACCATCAGCAAATATAGGAAGTTGTGAACTGATGACATGGCGCTATTTCAACAACAAAAGCCCACACCAGCACCTTCACGGGATTTATGTTTTTATGTTTTGATCAGACGATTCACCTTTAGGATCCGATCCCCTGACCACCAACGTGACACCCACTTTTGTATTTGGTGCCATCTACTGCATGTTTAGCTCCATTTGTCCCAAAATTACAAAAGAGGTGGCGCATAGTACCGGGGCCGCAATCGAGCGCTATATTAGCAATTTTACAGCGAATTTGGTGGTATGGGTGTCACACCAACTTGATGCAAATCTGCACCACTGCTGTGCCAAATGGCATCAGCGCTAAAAACAATCCCATGGTGAGAAAAGTTACAGCGAAAAATAATTTTGCGTCTTGAAATCGATGCCGATCCGTAGTCTCATGCGATAGGGTACCCCCCAACAGGCCTGTCGGCGAGTCGGCGGACGAGTTG